AGTCATGGATAGATAAATTAGCTTGATTTAATCATTCCACACTGCATTAAAATTAACATCACTTTGGTCCCCATAAATATATAAAACTATAATCTTTCAGTAATAAAAAAAATTCGAAAATTTCAAAAATTTTAGGCCTTGTTAAATGTGATCAGCACATTGTTTTTACTTAATGATTTAACTAATGAAAAGCTCCTTATCAGGAGTAGGAGCATGTCTGCTTTGTATTTTGTCTACTCACTCTTAAAACTATTAGTAAAATCTGTAGTCCTGTATTTTACTTGCAGAAACTATTTTTAGCAATTTGTGAAGGTTAATTTAAAAATCAAATATGATCTAGAAAAGCACTTACTTAAGCACAAGTACCATTTCTTGTAAAGCATAAGTAATATGCTGCTGAAAATTAAAAAAACAAACAAACAAAACGGAGGGCACCTTGAATTCACAACCCCTTGAGACTGTGGATCTGCCTCCTACCCTGAGGATAATTGTATTGTGGACCATGTAACATCTGTTCCTTTATGTAAAGACTCAGTAGAGCACCAATGTCCACCAGGAAACTAATTTTTGGAAATGTAACTTTTTACTTTTTAAGATAAAAATAAATTCTAATAGTTCTAGTGCTTCAAGGATCATACGGTTCAACCCCTACATACATATACCCAACTCTGGACACTGCTAGTTTAATTATAACTTGGAAACCAATCCCTGGGACACTTTCCTTCCCCTATGCTTGCTCTACCTGTATGTGTACAAGTCTACTTCACTTTAAGAGTCCCTGTAAGGGCCGGGGGCATGACTCAAGTGGTACAACACCTGCCTGTCAAGCGTGAGGTCCTGGGCTCAAACCCCAGTATCACAGCAATATGAAAAATTTAAAAAAGAGTCCCTCTAGGACTGGGGGCAGGAAAGTAGTCGTCTGTGGATGGTTTTTGTTCATCTTCATACTTCTATACTCCTAAGGTCTAGCACAGTGTCTTACAAAGACATCAAGAGCTTGATAAATGCTCACTAAATAGACTTGAGTGGTTTGATTTGCCTATTTTAGAAGGAAAAATTGCCAGGGCTAGGGCACAAGTTAACCTACAGGTTTGAAAATTCACCTTCTAGCTGAGTGGATTTGAGCAAAGTACTTTGTTTGTTCCTCAGTTTTCTCATCAGTAAAATAGTGGCAATAATAATAATACTACACCTACCCTGCAAGGAACTCTGAACATCGTATCTCCCAACACCTGGCATAGTATTTGGGATGAGCTAACTTTGTTATTGATTAGTGTTAAATAGCTCTTGCTCTTACTTTCTAGTTAAGCTCCAGCTGATGATTCCTAGTACAGTCAAAAAGTCATATTTCATTGCCCTTTCTTTGATATGTCAACCTCCTCACATGGTCTACTGTCATACCAATTTCTTTTTGGCATTAAAGGCTACTTACAGAAGGGCAAATTCTGTAAGCTACTTCAGAGCTTTTAAAAATGTCCCAATTTCTGGTTCTTCTGCTCAGCTCTGAAACTGCCTCCTTGAGTCCCACTAAAAATGCCTGTCTAGCTGCTGCTGACCTTTCCGGTTAAGACTATATTATATTCTATGTTCCTGTGAATATATAGCAAAGTTATTGACAAGAGGAAGAAAATTATGACAATGCTGGAAAGTGTGAAGATAAGCTCATTCAAAATGCAACCAAAGTTATTATTTCCATACATCTATGTGTGTAGTGCAAGTATACACACAGGTAATTTACCTAAATGGAATTTACAGTATTACTTCTTGAAGGAAGGCAGAGTGATGTAGTATAGAGGTTGGATTCCAATCAACTTGGTATAAAAACCCATCTGCCATTTATTGTGTGACCTTGGGCAATATATTAATCTTAAAATTCACCCCCCCACGCCTATTTTTAAAAAAAGTCTATCGATGCTTATCTCTTGAGGTTTTGTGGAGGATAGAACAGGCACCAATAAATGGAAATTTATTTTCCTTTCCTCTTAATCTTCACTTTGATCTTGACATTGGAGGGCTTTTCGAGGCTTCATTACAAAGCAACTCTTTCCATCTGCAAGTGCCTAGAGTACAGAGACCATATCTTATTAAATTTTGAAGACAAGCACCCAATGACATTTAGATATTTAATATGTTACTAAGTAAGTGATGCCCTAGGGAGAGTTTGCTCATGGACTTCTGTTTGGAATAGTTCACTCTGTGTTCATCTAAACAAATTGCCTCTCATAGTCTATATACTACTTCTTTACTAAACCTGCCTACATTTTCTTCTAGCTTCAATTAAAAAATGCAGCTAAGTATGGCTGGTGGAGTGGTTCATATGGTAGAGTGCCTGCCTAGCAAGTGTGAGGCCCTGAGTTCAAAATCCAGTACTGCCAAAAAAGAAAAAAAAAAAAAAGGCAGCTAAATGACTTTTGAGCAAGCCATTCGATCACTCTAGGGTATAGTTTCTTCATTTGTGAAAACAGAAAAACAGCTTCCCTTCCTATTTTATTGGGTTATTGTATTGACCAAATGATAAAATGCAAGTCAAGGTACCTCAGAAACTGCAAAGTGCTATATGAATGAATGCCTGTTAATAATACAGGATGCATGAAGCCATTTTATCATACATTTTAATTTATTATCTACTAGCTTATAAAATCTCACTGATTCTTTTTTCACTATTCACCTGTTCTGTACCACCTAGCTTTCCTACATTTATTTTTTTTTGAATCCCTTGGTTTATTGCTACTTCTGGTTTATAATCACTGATCTACAGATAAGGGACCATCTGACAAGTCCTAGAGGAAACCAAACTGTTTCTAGGTGTCTGAATCCTGGCTCTGCCATTTTAGTTTTGTGGATTATGAAGGTTAGTAAACTTTTTGGGCCTCAGTTTCCTCACCTGAAAATTGGAAGTAGTAACAGTACTTATTTTAAAGGATTGTTGTAAATTTAAATGAGATAGTGTGTGTGAAGCATTTAAGAATCTGGTCACTGTAAAACACCCAACAAATATTAACTATTATAAATGATAAGTGGTGGGAAGCAGGTGAGAAGGTAAAGAAGACTAAAAGTTTAGTTTTATTAGTTGAATGTTAACTTTCAGTAGTTCTACATTTTTTTTTTTTTTTTGTGGTCCTGGGGTTTGAACTCAGGGCCTACACCTTGAAGCCACTCCACCAGCCCTTTTTTGTGAAGGGGTTTTTCGAGCTAGGGTCTCCCGAACTGTTTGCTCAGGGCTGGCTTCGGAAACACCCTCCCCCATCCTCCTGATCTCGCTCTTCAGTAGCTAGGATTACATTCGTGAGCTAGTTCTGCATTTTTAAAATGAACCTTCCCATCTCAAGTCCTATTTGCAGACTGAAATACGTAAAATTTTTCTATAAAATTTCCCCCCTTGGTCAGATTTTTATAAAACAGCATCAGTTCAAAATACTTGGAGGCAGCAACAGAAAGGCTGCTAATCATAACCTTAAGGTATACATTTTTTGTACTTACTACTACATACAAAAAGAGCCAGTTTGTATAACCTAATATTTGTTATTTACTTTCTTGCTGGTTGGGAGCAAGGGATGGAAAGTAAAGAAAAGGAAGGCAGGATGTAAAGCTTTGCCTCACAGCATCTTAGGAACAATGGCAAAGGTCTTTCATAATAGCATTGGGGTACCATTCAAATGACAGAGTTGCCAAGCAAATGATTTTGCTTTTAACATTCTTTACCCTCCCCCAAGGCATACAGTGACCTCATGTTCTCTTTAGATTGCAAAGAACAGGGCTAATAAAACCTATGCTCAGGTTTGAGATTACAAATTGATTGCCTGTTGGCCACATCTATTCTGGCCTGGAGGGTTTTGAAATACTGGTTGCCAACATTTAAAAGTCTAGAGATGTCACACAGAAATCCAATTTTAGGGTTCTCTTGGGAAGAAAAAATAGAATATCTCCCTATACTAGACCCACTTTCCTAGGGGCAACAATCTGCTTGGGCTGAGCAGCTGCTCCCTTTAGTGACGGCATGGATACTACTTTCCATATTCCCCATTGTCTTGTATCAGGCCGGTCTCACTGTTCGCTTTACTTGTCTGGCCTCTCTTAGACATCCGAGTCCCCGTATCCTCCCTAGACCTTTCCTGTGTCCCGTCAAGGCTTACTTTGTTACGTTCCAAGTCTCTCATCGCTTTCAAAGCAAAAGCTAGATAATCTGATCAAGTACATGTATCTTTGCAGGTGCTTTCTGGAGACAGCGTCTTAACAGAGAGGGATGACTGCAGACGGAAATTACAAGCACCACTAAATTCCGACCGGGATACAAGGGCCCGTTCTACTTTCTCCAGTCTGACGTAGCCATACCTCACAGTTCCCTGGTAGAACAATAGACACCGGCCTGTGAGAACAATCTACCCCTACTGCACTTTCTAGATCACCCAAGTTCCACAAGAACCAAGGCTAGGACAAGCAGTTCCGACGCCCCAACTTGCTCGGAGGCTTGGGGACTTCCAGCAGAAGGCATCTCCCTCACCTGCGCTCGGTGCTGGGCAGTCGCGCCCAAGGAGCGCGCGCATCCAGCATGAGCTCATTGCTCAGGGGCGTTTCCAGAAGGCCGGGCCTGGCCGCGTGGGCCTCGTCCTACGAGCGTCCCCGCAGCTGCGCGGGGTACGGCTGCTCCGAGGCGCGCAGCCTCGCTGGCAGCTTTGTTCCCACTTTAGCATCTGAGCGCTCGAACCCGGCCTTTCTTCTGGGGAAGACGCCCCCGGTACTCGGCACGCGCGAGCTGCGAAGGGCCTCGGGCACGCAGAACGGGCCGCGCCCCAGGGAGAGCCTCTGGTGGGCGGGGACAGCCCCTCGCCCCTTCGCTCACGAGAGCGCTGCCAACCCAGCCCGCCGACCGCAGCAGTTTCGGGCTGGCTGCGCAGAGGTCCTGCGCGTCCTAGTTGCGGTTTCCACATGGGTTTGGAGCAGCCGTAGGCTAGCCCATCAGACAGTCCGCCACGACCCCTGATTGCCGATTGGCCACCGCCATGCGCTTCGGCCTCCCTCCTTTTCCCTTTTACCCCGACTCCTGCTCCGAAGCTGGAAGCCAATGAGAAGGCGCTTTATAGGCGCCCTCCCTCCGCTTTCTTCTTCTTCCCATCCCAGCGAGGGAGGAGAAATTCTGACTGGCCAGGTGTCCTCGGAAGCACCTTTCCCTTCACCAATCACCGAGAACCGTACACTCCCAGCGGAGTTTTCCAACCAATGACAAAGCGGTCGCAGAACCCAGCCGTGCAGTTTCTCCCGCGACTCCGGCTTTCACTGTGCTTAACTCTTCTTGTTTTTTTTTTTTTTTTTCCCCTGAGGGCCGGCAACTTTGATTGGCCACTGTTGCCATTGTCGGATTTGTCTTCTAGCCAGCCACAGAACAAGGCGAAACCACCTTCTTTCCCTTCGGCTACCTTCGGCATTTCCCGCTCTTTGGGCGTGGTTTTCCAGCGATACTTTCTAATTGGTTCTTCATTCTCATCGGCTTTTTCCGGAAGGGGCCGCAAACAAGAGACGTCGTTGATTGGCTCCGCTTTGGGTTTCGGCTTCACAGCCGAAAGCAGGCGGGCGCGGGCTCGGCGGGCGATTCCCAGACGCCTGTTATGCGGGCGGCGGGGCTCTGGGTGGTGTAAGGCTGGGTGGGGGAGGAAGGAGGCGGAGAACGAGTAGGAAGGGGGAGGGGGAGTGGGGAAGCGCTAAGCGGCTGCGCAGACGGTGCTCCTTACACAGAGCAGCCCCCGACCCGGGCGAATGCGGGCTTGTGGTGCTGCTGCTGCTGCCGCCGCCGCCGCCGCCGCCGCCGCTGCTGCCGCCGCCGCCGCCCGGGCCGACTGACAAAGGAAGGAAGGAAGCAACCGAGGAGCCGGCCTTGCAGCCGCTGACAGGGCTCCGGGCTGGGGCAAAGCGCGGACACTTCCTGAGCGGGCACCGAGCAGAAGCGAGAGGCGGAGGGCGGCCGCGCCGGTGCCGTGGACAGGGGAGGGGGCCCCGAGGGACGGAAGCGGTTGCCGGGTTCCCATGTCCCCGGCGTATGGGGAGCAGTCAAGGAGCCGCTGCCTGGGTTCTGAAGGGAGCTGCCTCCGCCGCCGCCACCACCACCACCGCCGCCGCCGCCATGGCCGCTGGATCCAGCCACCGCCTGCAGCTGCTCCTGGCGCAATGAGGAGAGGAGCCGCCGCCACCGCCCGCCTCTGACTGACTCGCGACTCCGCCGCCCTTCAGCTCGCCGGGCCCCGCCGTCAGCCCGCCGAATCCCGCCGCTGCCCGGGCCGCAGCGTTTCCCGGCCGTCGCACCCGAGCCACCCCTCCGCCCTCCTTCCCATCCCCCTTCTCGTCAAGCGTGAGCCTCGTGATCCTTCCGCCGCTTCCCTTCTTCATTGACTCGGAAAAAAAATCCCCGAGGAAAATATAATATTCAGAGTACTTATTTTCAATCAAGTATTTATCCTCGTTTCACGTGATATATATTTTTTAAGGAGCTCCCTCCCCCACCCTTTTCCTCCTCTCCCAGGAAAGGGAGGTGAAATAATTGTATTTTTTCCCCCAGTCCCGGATCATCTATATGTTAAATATCCGTAGCAATCTGTCTTGAAGGAGAAATACATCGCTCGTTTTTTTTTTTTTTTTTAGTAGCTATACAAAAGCCAAGATTTCGAAGGCTTTTTCTTTTTCTTGTGGGAGAACTTAATGCTGCATTTATCATTAAGCTAACACTCCAACATAAAACAAAAGGAAGAAAAGGAAGGAAGGAAAAGGTGATTCGGGAACAGCGATCATGTCAGGGCGGCCCAGAACCACCTCCTTTGCGGAGAGCTGCAAGCCAGTGCAGCAGCCTTCAGCTTTTGGCAGCATGAAAGTTAGCAGTGAGTATCGATTTTATTTTACACCCCTTCTCCACCTCCCTCTTCAAATAAGAAACCTCGGAAATACCAGGATCTTAAACTCTTAGGCCTCCTGATGGAACAATCAGATAGGCATTGAAAGAGGGCAGAACCTGTCTTCACTCAAGGATGAAGCAGCTCCTTCCTTTCTTGTCTTCCCGTCCCTCCTCCCCGGTCTCATTAACCTTGAATGGAGAGAATACGGTTGTTATTCGGATGATTTAATTGGAAACTAATTTTCTTTCTTACACTTTGCTTGTTGTTGGTAGTCAGCTTTATCAAGTCCTCGAGTGTTTCCACGTTAAAATTGTGATTGAAGAGTTTTCTTGCCCATCTTTTTGAGTAAAGAGGACAAGACTTGGCTCATAATCCATGATGTGCATTTGCAGAATGTGCCTTCTGGAATGAAGGTGGATACTGTAGTTAGTTCAGGTCTCAGGGATTAGAATTTATATTCGTAATAGAGACATTAAATGTCCCAGATTCCTAATTCTTTTCTTTCTTTCTTTTTTTTTTTTTTTTTTTTTTTTTTGCCTGTGTGACTATACAAAGTATTTCTTCTTTATCTGGGCATGAACTTGCTCCGTGGTTGGCATTCACGTTTGAAGGCCAGCGATGATCCCTCCTCCCTTTAATAGGGGAGGGTGGGAACCAATAAATATCCAGCAGTTGCATCTCTTAAGTGCATTGTCTTCAGTTGAATAAGTGGCTTAATGTATTATCTATTAACCTTCCTGTTTTGACAGTGTCAGTCTGCCACCCTATAGCATGTTTAATCAAAAGGTAACTTGGAAGCAGGTCCGAGTTTTGATTGAGGTTTGTATTGTCATAGTGCCAAATACTAAGTTAAATGTCACTGACTCATTGTCATTTCAGTTCAGTTTTGAAGTGCCATTGCATTTATTACTTGGTAAGTGTTCTAGAGTTCCAAGGGGATCCCGTTTTAGGACTGTTTATAATACTGTTTCATTAGTTTCTGTCACATTTACCTAAGACTGGAGTTAGTCACAAGAATATGGATTTAGGCCTTTTGGTCTTGGCTTCTACAGAAGGCTGTGGTCCCGGAAATAATAGGGATATTTGGGTTGTATTGGACGTTGTTCAGGGTTGTCTCTGTTGCTAGACTGTTCTTTTGCCCTGGATTTGTGTTGAAAAGTGTGGTTCTTGAAGTGCTTGGTATACTAAGTATCCAGTGTTCCAAAGTATCTATTTCTGGAGATGTTTATGTGGTATTAATGACAGCTCATTTAAACATACTTCCAGAATTTGACAGAAACATATATATTGTTTCCTTATTGTCTGAGAAAGGGCCTTGATGATGGTAAACTACTTTGTTGCCTAGAGGAACTAAGAACTGAAGAAGTAAGATTAAAAAAAAAAAAAACCAAATGTATTTGCCATTATGTGAAATTGTTTATAACATAATTTGATCACTTTTAATTGCATTTAAGATTTCAAGTCATGTTGGCTTTTGGAACTTGCTTGAGTCCAAGGTAATACCTGAATGGGACAGATTTTTGAAAGTTAACAATTTTTTTCCTTTTCAGTGACTAGCTAGTAGAGAACACAGGGTATAGGAAGAGGGAAGCTGATTTTGCATCTTTCAGAGAGGGATCATGCTTTCTAAGCACTTTGTGGGGTCATTTGAAAGGAATTTGAAAAAATTCTGGAGTAATTTTCAGCTATGATGAAGCAAATCTTATAATAGCTACTTAAGAGCTTCTTGTGGTACTGGAGTGTTCATATGTTTTACATTTTGGTCAGGTAGTTTAAAACCCCTGAAAATCAGTTTTAGGCAATTCATTTATTAGACATATTTGAGATCTGTAATGCTAGATTCTGATGCTAAATTTTGGAACTGTTCATTTTATTTCCAGGATTTTCTTTGAAAGTGATTTCCTAGTTCTTGATGGTTAGAAATGTTGATGGAAGATGGAGTAATTCTTTGGTGTGTAGGTTAACGTGTGTAATTTTATATTACCATATTGGTCAACGTAATATTTCCATAGTTGGAGTTTAATGCTGATTTTGTGTTTTGACAACCTCTTCTTTAAGGACTTACAGAAAAAAGGGGGGGCTAATAAGTATTTGTTACGGTGCTGGTGTTCTAAGGGGCCCCTATTCAAAACATAGATATATAACTTTTGGCCTCAGAAGTTTTAGTGGTTAAGGCAAATTGTGAGGAAAACAATAGCATAACTGAAAGATTATAAAATGTAAATTGTATCTGTTGTTCTGAGAGACAAAGAAGAGGGGTGGTGAAAAAGAAGGGTTAGGGAAGGGAAGGCTTCTCAGAGGTGTGTTTAAAACAGGTGCTAAAGGACACTGTAACTTCAACTGATGGAGAAGTGTGAAGGATTCTAGGTGGAAGGAATGTACAGAAGCAAAGAAATGGTGATTTTTGTCTGAGAGGCAGCAAGCAAGTTGGTAAATATGAATTAAAGGGGCCTAAGTAGTAAAATAAGAAGAGATGGAATTCAACAAATAGGGGAGGGTTAGCTGACAGAACAAAAGGGGCTGCCTATGTAAAAGTTTAGTTGAGATTCAGGAGAGATCTGGATTTACTGTAGATTGTTAAATAAGATATTTGAAGATGATTTGGACAGCTGAGTTGATGGATTTATGTAGAGAAACAGACCCTTTTAGGGAGATAGTAGGGTATGTTGTGAATCATGAAGGGAAAAAAGTGAAATGTGAAAATGGTATGATCAGAATAGATTTGAGGACAGTGAGTGTAGAACTGGCAGGACTTTGGATTGGACTGAAGGGGAATATTTGTGAAGGAGTCAGGAGTTAAAAATATATTCTGAGGTTATTGGTCCGGAAGACTTGACTGCCCAGTTATATTGTTAATTGTAATGAGAAAATTGAAAAAGTGCTGCGATGAGAAGGTAGATGAGTTCCCCTTTAGGTTCCTTTGAAATTCAGCAGACAGCATTTAGTTACTGGAAATGATATTTAACTTTTCAGTGTATTAATTTCAGTTTCTGATTTTTCTGTACCTAAAAATGTCAGGAATATATTTGGGAGCAGAAAGTAGATGTTTATATTTAAGTGCTTTTGACTAAAGTCTAAAAAAGAAAATACTTTCTAGCATAGATTTAAAAGCCTCACACTTGAAACTTAGTTCCGTGGTAATTTATTTGGAAACAATGAAAATGCTTGTCGCAATAAACTGTGAACTAAACATTTTAGGTAACTTTGTGTAGCCTCTAACTTAATCCTTGGTACATGCTTAAAGTTTTTTTTTTTTAAACTTGTGCAGTGGCTCATGCCCATAAATAAGCCTAGCTACTCGGGAGGTGATGATCTGGAGGATCACAGTTTGAGACTAGCCCATGCAAAAATTTCATGAGATCCCATCTCAACCAATGGCTGGGTATGGAGTCATGTGTCTGTCATCCCCAGCTAGAATGGGATGGATTTGGTCCAGACCCTATCTGAAAAATAACCAGTACAGAAAAGAGTTGGTGAAATGACTCAAGTGGTAGAGCATCTGCTAGCAAGTACAAGGCCCTGAGTTCAAACCCTAAGACTGTCAAAATAAAACCCAAAACACCAACTTTAAAAAAAAAAAAGATTATTCTTTTACTTTACATTTAAAATAATAAGTACAGATGGCCCTAGCAGAAATTCAAAGTTGATTTTATCCCAAGTACTTTTTGCCCTTTTTGTTAAGGCATTTATCCTACATTTCAATCAACATATTTCAAATACTTTTTTTCATTTGCTATTAAAACAAGTATTTTTTGTTTGCATCCAAGTTTGAATGTTATTGAATAAATGTTAATATCCTATACAGATCCTTGTTTAGAATCACATATTTTACTCAAAATAGAGAAAATAAGGGGACTATCTGCCCATGGCAACTTTGGCTAAAATATTGGCAGTAAATACTTTTGGTAAACTAATGGAGATGTAGTTAATTACCTAAGTTTAATGTTTAAATAAGAGGTTTGGATAGAGGAAAATAAGTCAGTGACTATCACTTAAGTTATTTATTCATATAAAGTTTTTTGATCAAAATTTTTATTAGCAAAGAGAGTAATTAAGGGTAGTTCTATACAGAATACTGCAGTAGTAAGTTGAATGGTGTTTAACAGTAAAGAATAGGTAGCAACTGAAGTCTTTCTATTTTTCAGGGAAGTTTAGTCTCCTGGCATCTCAAAATAAGATTATTAAAAAAAAACTAGCCATTTTCTTGGTTATCCTTTGTTAGTGCAGAAAAGATTGCTCATGTGTGACACTGAAAAGTAGAATCTTACTTTTCACTCCTTTCCCACCTAGACTTACCTAAAGTTGTTAAAATACTTATTGGAATAAGACTTGCATGTTGTCTTTGTTTGTACCTGTAGAATGCTGTCAAGTAGCAGACACAGATACTAGAAAGAAACTTCAAAGGAACCTAGAAATTCACAGATCAATTTGTGGGGGATTGGGGCTGGATTTAGAAAATGAAGTGACATCTTCTCATTTCAGTGAAACTAGATGGTAAGCCCACCCTATTCGTGGATTTATTACATGTGGTTTTGACCAAGTGTAGTGAAAAAATAATAAAATCAAAGATGTCAAAAACAAAACTAATTCTCGCTCACATCACACAACTCAGTAGATGCAGAGAAGCTATCAGTCAGTCCTGTGTTATTGCCAGTTGTGTTTAAATGAATGTGTGATCTGCTGAGTATTTCTCTTCCTTTAATTTTGTGAAAAATCTGCCTCCCCCAAAGCAAATGGTGCGCCCAAAGCAAGGTAAAAGTGAATGTATTTAGTTTAAGTGGTAAGTGAAAATGTGAGATTTGTTGAATGGCGGCATGTCTTTAGGGGAAGTTGGACAGTGTTAGGGAAAAATGAATCAAGCATCCACAGTACAGCATTGAACTCTGCACCCAGAGCAGTGGTGTTTTTTTCTCAACTGTGGGCCATCACTTTTGAACCATATACCTGTGGATACCAAATGGCTTTTGTACTTGTATCCTGTCTTGTCTGTTCCTTATATTGGACTTGAGTTGCTGGTGTGAGATACTGTTTTGGATAAACAAGGCTGGGACAGCCAGAATTTTTAAGTACCAGCAGCAGATTCTGAGACTAGGGAAGCCCTATGTTTGTGTGCTTTTTATACTTAGAGAAGGTTGAGGAAGGAGCCTTAAATAACGGAGGAGGGGCAGAGCACATGGGTGTGAACAGAGTTTGTACTGGTACTAACAGGTCCAACCTGATTCCCCAGATATCATTCTAAGAACAATCACCATGAGCATAGGTATTTGTTGGGACATTTAACATTTTCTAGTTCTTTTTTTTGGGGGTGGGTGGTTGGAGGAAGGGGAATTTTGCCCAATTTCAAAAACAAAAACATTTTCATGGTTTATGGGTTTTAAAGAGGTTGTAGTCTTTGTTCTATGTTTGGTTATACAAATTGTCTTTGAAATACTTGAATGTGTTGTAAAAACCTGTGT